TTTTCTTCTTGCTTTCAAATTCCGCACACTTTTGTTTGAAACGTACTTTAGCATAACAAATAATAGCAAATTTACATTGGACTGTTTTGATTTTTAACCCCGCCTATTGGCAGATGTCGAAACTAGGTCAAACGAACAGCGCATGTCAGATGTACTATTATAGTTTGTGCGTCATGCAATTGGTTTTCCTGTTTGAATGTGTTTTACACTAGTCATGTGGGGGCCCTTTATAGCTTACTGTTATGTGTGAGCCAATGCTCCGTGCTGAAGGCCGAACTGTGACCTATAATTGTTATTTTTTACATATTGTGATGATTGTTGTCTCATTGGCATTCATACCACATCTTCTTATTTCTATATACAAGTAAAGTTTGCGTTTAAGGAGACCCAAGGTATTTTAAATATAGAAACTATCCTGTAATTCATGATTTTCAGTCCTCCTTTATTACCCTCTGTGATTCTATTGGTTAGTAATACATTGTAACTACTGTTGCAATAGGAAATGAAGAACATGTTATGGTGCATCAAGAAAACAGGCAAACGTTATCGTTCGTTCTTTCCACACAACTAAGTACTGTGCTGACATGAATTATCATTGATATGGTCATATTTATAAATTAACTGTTTACAAAACTTTCGAATGTTTGAAATACTAAGGCTTTTTTACCTTAGCTGTATTTTGCACAACTTTTAGGAATTTTGTTTCTCAATGCTCTTCAACTTCGTGCTTTATTTGGCCTTTTCAACGTTTTTTTATTCGAACGTCACTGATAAGTCTTTTGTAGGCGAAACGCACGTCTGGCGTAAATATAAAATTTCAATCCTGGTATCTATGATGAGTTTATTTCCATTAGTCAAAATAGGCTATTTCTTAATGTTAACGTATTACGACATGAAGGTTCCCCGTTAGTCCTCTAATAGGCGTTGTGGAACATATTTGCTATATACCCTTTGTTCCTCTATTGATAAGGAGGTATAAGATATATCTGTAATTAGGGGCTGAAGTGTCGCAGCAGTCCATTCTATTATTCAAAATATCCATTTCATTATTCAAAATTGGCTATTTCGCAATTTTCACGCGTATTTTGGCATTTAGGTCCTCCGTAACCCTCTAATGGTCATTGCGGCACATATTGTTTATATTCATGTTGTTCCTCTATCAATAAACTTAAAATAGTTTATAAAGTTTTCTGTTATTAGGAACTGAAGGGTCGCAGCATTCCATTTCATTATAATATTCACGCGTATTTCGACATTTAGCATCTCTGTTACTCCTCAAATAGGCGTTGCGGAACATATTTGCTATATACCTTTTGGTCCTCTATTGATAAGCTCTCAAATGGATATAAGATACATCTGTAATTAGGAGCTGAAGGGTCGCAGCAGTCTATTCCATTATTCAAAATATCCATTACATTATTTAAAATTGGCTATTTCGCAATTGTCACGCGTATTTTGGCACTTAGGTCTTCCATAACCCCTTGAATGGTCATTGCCGCACAATTGACTATTAATATCTGTAATCAGGGGATGAAGAATAGCAAAGGTCCAGTGAAAATCCAATTTATAGTATTTTAGTTTTAATAAAATTGAGAATGGAAATGGGGAATGTGTCAAAACTGAAATACTAAGGCTTAGTTTTAATACATGTACATAATTTGGTATTCAAGTCGTCCAAACATTAAATCAATGAATTTCTGTTAAAATTAGTATGGGAAACTCACGAGTTTATCCTCCGAAACTAAATAAATTAATTAAGAAGATAATTTCAAACAGCTTTTTAATTTTTTTTCTGATATTAATTTGAAAATGTGTCAGATAACACCAAAATGACAAATTCAGAAATACGGGATATATTGTCACAGTCAATTTTTTTTTATTTGAATACTGAAATATAAACTATTTCAGTGTTAATTATTCAACACTGAACGTTGAATAGTGAATAATGAACTATTTTATTATTCATTATTGAATTTTGAATAATGAAAAATGAATAATGGACGTACTTCAGCGCGGTCAGAATTCATGAAAATTAAACGAAAAAAAATAATTTTAGTCAAGGTGTTTGGTACCACCTTAAGGGGCCTCGGTGGCCGAGTGGTCTAAGTAGTTACTACTGTATAATCACTAGCCAGTCAACACTAAGGTTGTGAGTTGGAACCCCGTTCGTGCGGATGCACTCGACTCCAATCTTAATTGACTAGGATTGTCAGTTTTCCTATCGAAGTTCGGTGGTTTTCTCTGGGCACTCCGGCTTCCTCCACCAACAAAAATTGGCCGTCAAGAAATAGCCTAAATGCGGTGCTTAAAAGTGGCGTTACACCAAAAATCAAAAAATCTAATGGTACCACCTTAAACATGTTAAACGATCATTTTATATATTTTTTTCATAATTGTAGATATATACAGCTCTTCACTACGGCTGAACCTACTCTGTAATTATTATTTGATTGACGTCAAGCTATGTGAGCAATATTGAAACAAAAAGAAATAGACAATTCATTATTGAATTCTGATTAAAAAATGAATAATGAACGTACTTCAGCGCGGTGGAATTCTGACAAAATATTTATTTTGACCTTTTGACAAAAAATCAAAAAATTTCAAAAAAGTTAAATCACACACTTTTTCGGAAAAAAATTCATTAGATTATGGCAGTTTGACAAACACCAATTTGTTCATTGAAAAACTTATATCGTGATTAAAACGTTCAGCTAAATTTACAGAGTCATCTCACTAAAGCGTTGTGTACAACCTTATTTAAAATGTATAAAATAGACGATGTGGTCTGATTACTAATGAGACACCTCTCCACAAGAGACCAAATGACACATAAATTATCAATTATAGGTCACCGTACGGCCTTCAACAATGAGCAAAGCCCATACCGCATAGTCAGCTATAAAAGGCTCCGAAATGACAAGTGTAAAACAATGCAAACGAGAAAACTAACGTCATAATTTATGTACAAAAATGAACAAAATCTTATAAGCCATAAGAACTTGATGAATGATTAAGATATCAAATAATCAATCAGGTTATACTGTTATAGTGCGAATGTGCTTATCTCATAGACGCCTCAGAGTTATTTTTCTTTCCACAGTTGTAATTGTATTGTGTGGTCGTAATCCACTTATTTGTTAATTGATGTTTTTTGGGGGGTTTCGCCTGCAACGAAAGTCGCAGAATGTGAGACAAAGAGATTACTATCCGACGGCGGCGATGTAAATTATTTGTTTAAAGCTTTATATTTCAGATGGTTAAAGACCCAGATACTTCATACTTTGTATGCAGATACATTATGGTTTACAACTTTCGACTGTCATATGTCTTTTGTCTTTAACCTCATTTTCATGGTTAAGCGACTGCTCGAAAAAAAATTGGTAAATTTTTGTCATGTCAATTTTTCACTTATATGAGCAAATGGATACTAGTATCTTTATTTTGTATATCAGTTCATACCTTTTATGCAGATGCATTATGTTATGCAGTTTCAGTCTGTGAAAACATTGTTATTGACTTCATTTCCATAGTTCAGCGACTGCATGAACAAAATATTGTTTTTTTTTCATGTGAATTTCTCACTTTATATGAGTAATAGGATAACGACATTTTGTATATCGGTTCCTTGCTAGTATATATCCTTCAGACAGGATTCATCTGACCTCGTCCAAATGTCATGGGTCAGTGATCAAGGTTAAACTTACATAATTAGGTCTGTTTCTCGGATGCTATAAGAAGCAGGTCAACTGAATGTGGTGTATATGATGAATGTAAGGAGTAAATGTTAGCCTGCCAAGCATTCTCTGACCCTCCCTATAGTTTCAAGGTTAATTTGTCAAGGTTAAGTTTTTGTGTTCTTCATGTACAGTACTATCAGCAATAAGTTAGCTCTCTTTTGTGTATAGAATAATTGTAAAGTGTCATCTGACCTTGTCCTCATTCTCATGGTGAATTGGACAATGTTAAGTTTTTGTTCTGGTATGTTTTTCCATTACTGTAAGTAAAAGGTCAACTGTATTTGTTGTATGAAATAATTGTAAGGTGTACATGCATGTCTGACAGGATTAATCTAGCCTTGACCTCATTGTCACGGATCTCTAAAATTGTAAAGTTTATATGAAACTTGAAGTAAAGCCTTTATCTTTAAAATTTCAACATAAAGTTATTGTTGACATGTATACCTATTATGTTTGTTTGTTTTGTTCACACATCGTTGTCAATGTAATGGAATTTTATCCGACTGTCATACAAGTGAGAGGTTTAGCTAGCTATAAAACCAGGTTTAATCCACCATGTTCTATGATTTTGCCATTTGATTAGGGACTTTTCTTTTTGAGTTTTCCTCGGAGTTCAGTAGTTTTCTGATTTTACTTTTTAATTGTCAGTAAAGCAATCGAGACATTTCAAATAGCGCAATTTTGCAACTGTTGCTATATCCTTGCCATGGTATTGGTTTGATTCTAATGCCGGTGAATACTGTAGGTGTTTCACACGCATTGTTTGGATCTAATGGTGGCAAATATTGAAGATGTTTCCGACGCATGTTATTAAAATTTTGATATTTTCTGTTTTTGTATTTAAAACTTTATGATATGTGATTTGAGATTCAAGAGGCTGTCACATTGACAGCAAACTCGATTTTCCAGCATGAAAATGATATTTGCAAATCTGGAACACAAATTAGAATCAATTAAAAAAAAATTTATGAATTTTTGTAATGTTCAGAAATGCACAGGTCAAACTCTAACACAGTATTACTACTTATGTCTACTTAGAGGTCTACATCTCAACAACGGTAAAATGTTAAATCGTTAAATTGAACTTCACCTCCATTTAGTCACAGACAACAAATTATCTAAATTTTCAAAAGCTCGTCAGCCTAACATAACTGGATTAGTCATCGATTTTCCTTTAAAAATCCGATTAGAAATCAAAATATTTTAACATCAAAAAAAAAAAAAAAAACAAGTAATCTAAATATATATTATTTACACGCCTTGAAAAAAGAAAGATTTAATGAGCTTGATATGAGATATACTTGTATTCAAAATATAAAATCAAATTTTAAATCTTATAAACAAAAGCTGTTTCATAGTCTGCACTATCTTCCCTTATTTTGGTAGGCACTGTCATCATTCCTGTTTCTTTGTTTATGTCTATTCCTTGAGGATATTCGATTCCATCAGCCTCTGATAGTATGGTCTTACAGGTTTTACCATCTGGTGATACTACCACGATACTGCTGTTTTTATAAGAAGCTATATAAACAAAGCCATTTATGTCTAATGTAATTCCTCCTGGACGGCCAATGTCCAATGTCCACAGAGGTTCACCTGTACTTTTAAAGCAGCAGACTTTGTTTTTAGAGGGAATGGTTCCATAGATATTTCCTTGGAATAATGAAATACGTACCACTCCTTCCATTCCTTCTAAGATTGTATGAGACATGTCATTCAGATTCACTCTTGTACTCTGTCTCAAATTACTACTGATGACCAAAGTTTCACAATCACTTGCTAGTGCATAACAACCATGAGAAAGTTTGATTTTTTCAATAATTTTATTCTTTTCTATATCCACCAATGTTGTCTGTTTGGCTGATCCTAATGCAACAGCGACTGTAATGTTTCTGACAAAGCAGGTATCAGATGGATGTTGTGAGAATGTAACTACTATTCTGATGAAGATGCCATCATTACTGAACAGCAGTAGTTGTCTTTTGTTGTTATCAAGTATAATGAATTTACCATCAGGTAATATACGACAGGCATATATATCTAAAGTCTTCATTTCTTTTGGAATTGTCAGTCTTGTACACAAGGATGGCTTTATTTCTTCAATTCCAGGAACTTTTGAAATTAGATTCTGGGCTTGATTTTTTCTTCCAGCCTTTATTTGGAGGGTAAAAGAGGTGGTATTGATATTGATATCTCCAAAGGATTTGACATCACGTAAAATTGATTGAAGAGCAGATGAAATGTTAACCTCTAGATTTGTTTCATTGAAGTAGTCTTCACTCTCTAAAATTGTTATATATTTTGCCGTTTGTGATGTAGTTTTCTCAATTTCTCTTAGACCAATATACATCTGTAGCTCTGTTGCATATTGCGTCATTTTGGTAAACTGACTCTGCATTTGGTTTATCTGACTGGCTCGCTGTTCCATTTGCTGCACGAGAGTGGCCATGTATAATTTCATCTCTGAATGTTTAGACTCTAAGTCATTAAGTATGTCTTGCTCTAATTTGTTTAAGTAATCATTGATAGACTTCCTTATATACTTGATTTCCTCAATGGCTTTCGTTTTCTGAGTACTGATGGTACTGATCCTGGTTTTCATGTATTTTATGGCTGCATCTAAGTTTTCCTTCACAACCTTCAAATCTTTTTCAAAAAGTTGAACTGAGGCAGATGATTTTACTTGCTTTAGGATATCAGACAAGGGTTTCAGATCTTGACATTTCTTGTGTCCATCGGTGATGCACTGGACACAGCATGGACATGCATGAAAAGAACAATAAAGTTCAAACTTCTTCTTGTGGTCTCTGCACCTACTGCTTATTTCTTTCATGAATTTAGGTAACTCGTGGTAATCTTCAGATGACATGGTTTTATGATTTTTAGACAGTCTTGACTTGCTGTGAGGTTTTTTACAGTCTTCACAAAACAACACCTCACATTCTGTGCACCAGGTGACGGCTCTGTTGGAGATTCCATCATCAAGACAAATTGTACAAAAGTGCTTGACTGATGAGGCCATTACTTTATCTCTTTATATCTAAAACATGTGAAAATACTCTCTTAAGTAAACTTTACAGCTATAAATACAATAGTCAAAAATATTACTGTAAGATATATAAATACAGGTAATATTATCATCATAAAAGATGCATTATGTCCAGATATGTAATGACAAGTACACCTATTACACATTTGTATATATATTCTCAATTATACAGAACATACTTATCTGGGAATTAATCAACACTGTTCTGCGCCTTTTACCTTTGACATTCCCATAATCAACTAAGCCTTAGTGGTTGTTGTTTGTTGATGTGGGTCATAAGTGTTTCTCGTTTCTCCCTTTTTTTAATACAGATTAGACAATTGGTTTTCCTGTTTCAATGGTTTATTTAGTCATTTCTTGAGCTCTTTATATCTTGCTGTTCGGTGTGAGCCAAGGCTCCTTGTTGAAAGCCGTACTTTGACCTGCAATGATTTACTTTTTACAAATTATGACTTGGATAGAGAGTAGTCTCATTCGCTGTATTCATAATACTTTAGTAGAGGGAGAACTTCTTAAGACAGACAATACAGATATAAAAATCAAGGATAGAAGACAATGGCCAACAGAAAAAAAATGAACTTGTATGGCTTTTGTATCATTTTGGATGCTATGTCACTGACATAACTTTATATATAAATAATGCTACGCATGTATATATGTTGTACTATTACAACACAGCCCCTGGTAAGGAAAGGTGTGGACGCCCCCTAACATGTTTAATCCCTCAAAATTCTATATGTGCTTGTCCCAAGTCAGGAGCTTGTAATTCAGTAGTTGTCGTTCGTTGCTGTTTATAATATTAAATGCTACCAATCAGGTAATTTTTTTCTTCAGCATTGCTCTTTTGTAGTTGTTTAATATGTGTTATGTTATAATCTAATGTTGCCCCTTGTGACACCTTTAATTTGAATAAAGTATATTCTATTCTATTCTATTTGTATATCGTTCATTGTTTTTTACAAAAATTAGGCCGTTAGCTTTCTTGTTTGAATTGTTTTACATTTGTCACATGGGGATATTTTATAGCTGTCTATTTGGTATTGGTTTGGCTCATTGTTAAAGACCGTATGGTGACCTATAGTTGTTAACTTCTATGTCATTTCGTCTCTGGTGGAGAGTTATCTCATTGGCAATCATACCACATCTTCTTAGTTTTATATTAAAACTGTTCAAAGAAATACAACTCTAAAATGTCCATGAAACAAATAAATTTGCACTATATTATTTCATTTTGATACAAATTATTTTTAAAAGATTGAAATCCTACATATAAAACTTTTTCTTTAAAATTTTGCAAACAGCACTGTAAATTATATTTGTACAAAAAAAGGTTTCTATTTTTTTAAACTTTCAAAATCATTTTTTTGTCCTTTAATAATTAAAGCCCAGTGAATTGATTGATATTGTTCAAAAGGAATATAATATACTGGTTTGAGCAAGTAGACATGATTTTCCCTGGCTATACTACAGCTCTCAGATTCATTGAATGAATAATGCATAATAGTTGAAAATGGTATATTTCCAGAAGATACATTTTTGATTGAACTAGGATACTTATGAACATTTAACTGTCCTGCTCTTTTCAAATACGTAAAAATTCAGCCACCACACCCTTCTATTACAGTCTCTGTGTTGCAGATATTAAAAAAGAACCAAAAATATGAGACTAAATGGAGATATTATCTACACAATTTGTACTGTGTTAGTCTGAGCAATTATTGCTCAAAGAGGACAAATTCTCCGATTCATTTGATTTCAGTCACGGTGATATTTATCATGTATCTATTTTTTGTTTATATGAAACATTGAATTCTTATTTTATCATAAATGTTATGCGGTAATTACCATCGACAGTTACCAGAAATTAAAAATTATGCAATTTGAGTAATAAAGTAAATAAGCGATTGGATTATTAGAAAATTCTTACCATGCACATATCGACAGTCGGATAGGAATTTGCACAGGGAAGTAATATGTCCAATATCTAGGACACTCACGAAAAAGTATTGATTTTTAAAAGATTTAAATACTTGTCTTACCAGTTTAATATTTTGTGTTGTGTACACACAAATTTAATATGTCTTAAATGTATTGATAAAATGTATGTACTGTTCAGTAAACAAAAGCACCATACAAACTTTTTTCTGTAACAAACTAATTAAATTGACTGTTTGTACATTTAAATAAAACAACTTAGACATTTCTATTGCATTAAACACTTAACATTTGTATTTAAACGTATTTATTAGTTTTAGTATAAACATGTGGGACTATCATAACATTATACGTGTAGCTCTTATAGGTGGATGAAGAAATTATTCTATTAAAGTTTAATCAATATTTCAAAGTTACACATGTTTAGGGCTAGAACTTACATATATAGAAATGACAATTTTGCCTTTTCGACGAAAGTAATAAAAACATGCAACATTCCCTCAAACAGTATAATTCCCGTGGAACTGTCGGCATAAAAACTGACATGGACATGGCTGGGAACGTCCACATAAAAACTGAAATATCCGTAAACATTTCGGGGTACAAACTGCTGGTTCCATTGCAGAAAGAGTAGGTTATGAAGTTTCGCAGACATGCATGGAAAAACTTTGTAAACAAAGGGAAAATATGTGGAATTAGGATGTATATAAGGGTATTGTACAAAAATTACCTACAATCCATTTTTATTAAAAATTTGACTAAGTCTGCAAAAGCGACTAAAATACTCTTAGACTTTAATATCTGCACTGTGTGCCTCTTGAAAAAAAGATCGGAAGTAAAAGCCACGGGGTGAGTGTGTGGGGTTTGTTGGGGTGTATAGACCATAACTCGAGGGAAAAAACATAAGAAATACAAAATGTATGCATACAACTGAGTCCACCAGGAAATGTGGTATGATTACAAATACTTAGTTCTAAAATTTGTAAAAATCTGGGGTGAAAAGTGGTAATATAAAAAAAGTGTATTAAAACTGAAAATTTAGCTTCACAAAAAACAACAAAAACACAGCCTTAAGTCAGAAAAGTAATGTTTACCAGTTGAATCCAAATAAAAAAAAAATGTCAACATTAATAGCCCCTCCGCAATTCTAAAATTGTAGGTGCATAGTTTTTGCAATTTTATCTTATTATAATTTATTTTATTTTTATTTTATGCCAATTTTCAAGAAATTTTCAAATATAACCTCCCCTTAATACGTCAAAAGTTGGTCATCATATTCGAAATGTTTCGATTTTGGTAGGTAGATGATCCGTCAATTTTTTTGGCCATTTTTCTCTATTCTTTATGTTATCTATTTTTTTTTATTTTCTTGGCCTGTTTTCTCAATTCTTTATCTTTTAGGACCCATTTATTCTCATGTCCTTATTTCGTTCACATGTTTGTCTCTATTCTTTATATTTTTGCACATTGACCTATTATTTTCTATTGTGTAGACACCTTATAGACTCTTCTACATGTACGTCATTTGATTATTTGAAAGTCAATTTAATTTGTTTCAAAATAAACTACTGGGTTTGAAATCAAAGAGGAGAAGAGCTCATTGAAACTAGCTCTTCGATTCATGTTAGTCAAGTTTCTGGGTAGATCACCTATAATGAGTCATGATTACCATTTTTGGATGGGACTCAATAAAGTTTTGAAGAAAAGATCAGTTATCGAATGAAGATGGGATTCATCAAAATTTTGAAATATTGACTCATTCACGATCATTAACTAGTGGAATTAAATTCATGTCACTCTAAGAATACTGGAAGATGTCACTCAAATGGTTACGATCTCATTATAATTACCTTTCAATGCTAGTAGGAGTGAACTATTTCAATAGAATGTACAATTACTGATAATTTCAATGCAATGTCTCTTTAGCAATGATATGCATTTGATAGATACCCAATGAAATCAAAGAAATTAGCTTTATATTTAACTAATATATATATATAATATAGGATAATGGTGTTGATGAAAAAGATAACACCATTCCACTTCCTATGGTTTTCCACATAATTAATATTACCAATAATTAACGAGTTTTGGGTCGAATCTGATAGCGATAACACTAGCATATTGCTACTTTGCAGACCCTTTCATTCGGAGCACCCTAATGAGGAGGACACTTAGCAAACCGAATCGGCCTATATTTAATTGGAGCTTTTGCCTACCTTACTCCCAGCTTTGCCGTGACGGGATTTACTAAAGTTAATCTT